GGCGATGAGGGTGACTCAGCGCCCGTTGACAGATGGCCGGACTTGCTGCACGTTGTCCCGCGGCTGCAGCGACGGCTGGCGCCAGCGGCCGCGTGGGGCTCGCCACATGCGCCACGCTTTCAGACGCCACGCTGTATACATGTGTACGCGGCGGGGTATCGGAGCGTGGAGGTTTTGAGTCCGCCGGCGGATGGAGTGACGTCACTGGGAGCGGATCGCCCTGGGTTCATGTGTGGTCCGCTTGCAGCGGTGCCCTCCGGGTCGCTGACGATACTGTATCTCGGGTTTGTTTATGGCTGCAGCTTTGTAATGGGCTCGTCGCTGTGTCTTTGGCTCGGTGGGATGGATTGCAATATTTGCAACAGTCATGTGAAAGTCTGAAGAGATACTCGCGATGAGAACACGATTATCCTAATGATGCTGTCCCCTCTGCACGCATTTCTCGCTTCCGAATTTGCGCACAAACAGGTGCGGTGTGCGTAACGAACAACCCTAAAACCTGACAAGCACGGCAAATTTGCTGCAGGTTATGAGGGCATTTGCACTAGTTCACCAGCCCATTTGTGGTCCGAAGGCCGACGGATTCTGGACTCCCGCGCTTCTCTTCCTGGAACTCGCAGTCAGCCGCGACCAACCGACGACTTGCTGGACCTCCCCGTCGCCGCCGACGCCGCCCCCCCCCCCCCCCCGAACAGGAAGGGCCTGTGACTCATCCGTGACGTCATGGAGGCCGCTGACGGCCACAGCGGACCGACCCCGCTGTTTTATTCACGACCGCTGTCAGTAGGCGCCGCGGGTGTTTCGCGGAATACGCTCCGGTCAAGGACAGAGCGGCGGCCAAGAAGTTAATGGAAACGGTGTGCTATCGATCAGCGCTGCGTTTACGGACGCTGACATCACCACGTACTGCTCGGAGAAAGGCCGTCCCAGCGCGGTAGCTGACACACAGCAGCGCCGAGATCGGCCACATTTGAACACCGGCCGGTCCCCAGGGGATCCCAGTGCAAGGTTGGGGAAGCTCACATACGACATGCTCTGAAGAGTGTTTGTGGGTTAATAAGGAGGTGGACGGTCTCCACGCTTTGCATCGGTCCTGTTTCTGGCACTAAGTGCGTTGCACGGCAGTTTGTGTCGGCATTTTGGGTTGGCCTCGAGGGTAGCAACGAATTTAAGCAAGGTTGAAAGTATGTTATTGCCAGCCCGCAACTATAAATAGCATCGGCTATTTTCAGCAGTATAATGAAGCAGGCATCTGTACCAAAGCATTTACAACCATTCAATCACTGAGCGATTATGGTTTCACATGTCGAACCAGACGTACCTCACAATATTTTGACATTCTTGACAAGTCCCAGATTCCAGGAAGATGTTCTAAACGATACTGCTGTTTACTTCGTCAAAGGTCGGATAATGGTCGGATAATAAGCTAAGCTTCCTCGTGAGAACTTTTTTTAATAACGTCGCTTAACTACTGCCTACTGGTATACTGAAGGTCAATGATGTTCAGCATGAGAACTCCCAGCTCATCGCGCCGAACCACCGAGATTCGATGCCTTTCTTGCTTATATCAACTTCCACCACGTGTCAAAGCGTCGGTCACGCTATTTTTTTAAAGGCCCTCTGGAAACTCTGAAAACCCGTTCGGTCACCAGTCTTACCTGCTATGTCTTTCCAGCTTCTTCGATATGTCTGTTAAGGTCATGCAAGTTCAGTTTTAGTGTTGTATGTGGGCACATCGTGACAGTGTACCCAAAAGCTTTCCACTCTCGTCTGACGTGTTGGGCCACTTTTTTTCTACATAACACCGTCTTCTTGCGCCTCGGGTCATCTTCAATGAGCGACAAACGTCGCATGTTTTCGTTGCTCACAAGCGATATAATTACTAAGATGCTTTCTGTGAATTGCACCTCATTAAAGCTTTTCACAAAAATACAGGCTGATATTGCCTTGAAACGGAAACTAATTCCTACACCGGAAAATAATTCATAGTTTACTAAATATTTTGTGTTCCTTTTTGTCGGAACGGAAATTACAGTGGCCGAAATCCGGTGAAAAATCTGGCTTTGCGCGTAGGTCGGGCCAAGCTGCGGCTCAGCCCACCCTAGGTCCGATTTTAAGCATCGCCACCCCTGCCCACATCCCACGCTATTCCCGTCTTGCTTCAGGGGTCCGCTCCGAGAACGACTACTTCTACGACGAGGAGCAGGAGACGGAGGTTGCCTCCGACGCACGTGCCCAAGTTCGTCAGTCAGCCCACCGCCAAGTCTGTGGAAGAGGGCGCCACCGTCACCCTGCCCTTGCCTCGTCGACAATATCGGTAACCGCCGTCGGCACGCGCGATCCGTCGTAGGGATACTCAACACAACACATTCGAGGGTCATGTTTGAATCAGCTGGTTTTCCCGGTTAAGGTATGCTTGAAACACTGTTTTGATGTATAATCTAGTTAATAACTGCTGCCCGTTATCTTTGGCGCTTGTGGGTATGTTTAGGCCTTGACACTTGCCAGGACTACGGCGTCAGCAGCGCGCTCTGCCACTGCAATCTTTGTGCGAAAAAACAACAAGTAAGGCTGTTGCACGGGTGACGTCATCATCTCCTTTCAGTCGCTGGTAGGTGTCCTTCACCTGTCATCAGGCGTCGGCGTCCTCGTCTGGAAAAGTGACGTCATTAGCTCTTTTAAGTCGCTGACCAGTGTCCTTGACCTGTCATTAGATGCCGGCGTCCTCGTCTGAAAAAGTGACATCATCATCTCCTTCCAACCACTGACCAGTACCCGTCAACTGTCATCAGGTGCAGGCGTCCTCGTCTGGAAGTCCGGCAAGGACTTGATCTTCATGAGCTCCATCAGTCAGAGCACTGACAAGCGCTTCAAGCTGGAGAGCAAAGGCAAACATGGCAGCAACCTGGTCATCAATGACGTCATGGCCAGGGACAGCGGCAACTACGAGTGCATGATCACGTCCAACCCGCCCGTCAGCCTCAAGCACTCTGTCCAGGTTCAATGTGAGTATTATGCATGCTCCAATCTGCCGATGCGGGCTCCACTCCTACAGAGCGTCGACATTGGATCCCGGTCACAGTGATGCATGCGAAGACAGGACCACGTGTCATGATCTCAAGGGCATGAGTGACTTTGTTCTTCGCGTGTTTTAGAGATTAGGCGACCTGGAATGGGTTTCTCAAAGAATGGATTGAGTGAGGAATCCATGTTTCTGATTCTGAACTCAGAAGTGTACACGTGACCATACGGATGTGGACTTTCAAGGCTTCATCTGCAATGGTCCCCTGCCAACAACGCGACGCGTCATATACTAACCACTCAGGGGGAAGTACAGTCCTACTCCATTATGGCGACGGAGCGCGTCGCCGTGTGCCGGCCGTGGTCCGTGCTGAGAGCGCCACTGGACGCGCACCGAGTCGGGCGGCGTGTTTCGCGCGCCCAGTGCCGCAGAGTCTGCTGAGAGCACCACTGGACGCGCGCCGAGTCGGGCGGCGTGTTTCGCGCGCCCAGTGGCGCAGAGTCTGCAGCAGGGCAGTTGTCCGCTCGGTCAGGGCCAGACTCTTTTGCTGCCAAAATAAACCCACCTGCAGTCCGTCGGGACGCGTCCAGGAGTCGTGTGGCGCGCCGCCGACGTTCGCAAATAAACACGGCGCGTGCGGCAGGCCGGTTGACGGGTGGTCAGCGGCGGCCACCGGACGGCCGGCTGACGGTGTGACGTCGTTCTGTGTGACGTCACTCACAAATGACGTGAGGTGCCAGCTTGTGTCCTGGGTGCAGAATAGACAGCTGCGTTTGGGGAACTCGTGGGGAACCGTCCCACAGCAGCAGAACGTTCGTTTCGACGTGACAGGAACACCTGTGCAGGCATCATGTGTCCCATCTTGTATCCGTCAGTATCATGTGCCGAGTATTATGCGTGAGCCCAAGATGTGCGGGATTTGACTCAGCTTGGCCACTTTCATTAAATTCACGACTCTTTTACGGTTTTCAGGTCTCTATCTGAATTAAAGTGGACTCATTCGGGCACATGCAGCCTTCCGCCTCGTTTAGCTAACCGTGACAGGATGTCATATAAATCCGTCCGTACGCCAGACCATCCCTACGCCGTGTAAGCACGAACAGCCCCCCGTCACCTGTGTCGAGCTGCTGCGCGCGTGCCGCCAGATGCACCGGTGGTGACCACGAGGCCAGAGGGTGGTGTGCTGGTGGTGGAGGAGGGCCAGCAGGTGACGCTGGCCTGCGAGGCGGACGGCCGACCGGAGCCCACCGTCACCTGGACCAAGATGGTGAGCCCCGCCCGCGGCCGTCACGTCACGCGTCACACGCCCGACGCCAGCGGCATGATATGATGCCGCTGATCCGTCAGGACCTGCAGGACCCGCATTGCACAAACGTATCGACGGCGGTGTTATGTTTTGAGCTGCAGCGGATGAATGTAACCGTTGACATCAAGCGTTGCCGGTGTGTTTATGTGTGTGCGCGACACATTTTATGCACGCCGTCGAGAGGCCCGTTTCACGCGCTGAAAGCAGCTGGCGGGCGCTGGCGCGGAGGTAGTACCGAGTGACGCCTCGTCCTCCCTCCCCGCAGGAGGGCCTGCTGCCGTACGGAGAGAAGAAGCATACGGGCGACCACCTGGACATCGCCGCCGTGGAGAGCGACCACATGGGCCACTACGTCTGCACCGTCGACAACGGCGTAGGCTCACCTGTGGAGAAGCATATTCATCTCGAGGTCAACTGTGAGTCTTGGGCCGGCGGAAGGCGATGCCACAGTGGGAACCACGTCGGTCAGTGGATGCCGTAGCTCGAAAGGCATCACGCGAGTAGATTTGCGTGTCCGCCAATGAGGCACGCCAACCATTTCCCCATGCTGGTAGATTCATTTGGGGCAAGACAAACCTGAGGTGCGGCTCCTTTCCATTACTATAATTAGGCGGTCATGAAATGCGTGACGTCGACGACATGTCGTGGGTCGGCGACGTGTCGTGGGTCGTGCCCCGGCATTTGGTCCAGCCCAGGCGGACCTGCAGTATGTGGGAGTGTCCCGCGCCTCGAGCGGGGCCCGCCCGGCCGCCGGTCGAGCCTCGAGACCGCGCACTCCCACGCCCCAGCCCATTCCGTCAGCGTCGCCCCCGTTACGCACACAGCAGCCGCCAAAGCAAACAGTACGCAACTGAATTCCTGTGTGTGCCGTTTGGAGGGCGGCCGGCGTCGGCGGGCCGGGCCTGGCTGGGCTCTGCAGGGTCATGACTCATGCGTGTGCCGCCGCCGGCCGGGCAGGGCGTCTGTGCACTGTCGCCTGCCGACAGCAGGGTGGCAGACAGCGCACCGCGCCGTGGGCTGGAATGCGGTCCTGTACGCGCGGCGTCATGGACACGCGGGGCTCTGTTACTCTTGCCGTCTTGTCGCTTTTGTTACGGGCGTCTGTGGAGCGAGGGGGGACAGCGGAGATGCTGAGTGCCACCTTCCTCAACGTGTCCGTCGGCTCCCTACTGTAACTTGTGGTCGGAAAGCCAGATGAAATGAGACTAAAAGTATGGTATTGTGGATGGAACTGGATGACTGAAATGATCTTATAGCACACCTTTCCCGTTCGGCTTCACAATTAGTGCACAAGGACAGCTTCACCGTGCGCACATGGATGACCGTCCCCCGCCACTTAACGGAGACCCAAAATTATCGAACGCCTGCACGCGTTCTGGCGAAGCGAATAAAAGTGCAACGCCTTACCTAAAGCGCTAAATGTACTTGACACCGCCATGGACACAGAAGCTTAACCACATTGGGCAGCCGATGTCCACTTTTTGTATTTTTTCTTCAGTCACCACCCACAGTGCTAACGGTAACTCTTCAGAAACTCAGTCCCCTCCCCCTGGCTCCCCGGTTTGTTCGAAGCGGTTTGTTTCCGACACTTCGTGCCACCGGGGGGACCTTGGGTTGGCAAGCGTGTCCCTCTTGCCCCTTGAGCGCTTCTGTGTTCGAAACCGTGCATTTTTTTAAGGCGACGCTTCACATGTAGCAAAATGCTGCGCCGCTCTCGACGGGTTCGTTGTGCAGGCAGATTGCCCCCCAGATCGCCCACCGGCTCAACAACGAAGTGGTGCACACGGCCCCCCCGCCGGTCACGAGGCCCCAGCTGGAGTGCAGCATTCACGGACGACCAATGCCTGAGGTGAGATGTCCAGCTCGGACTGCCGCCCTGTGCTGTCTGCAGTGACGGACAGTCGCTGCCCGAGGGGCTGTGTCCGGCTCGGGCCGCCGCCCTGTGCTGCCTGCAGTGGCGGACAGCCGCTGCCCGAGTGGCTGTGTCCAGCTCGGGCTGCCGCCCTGTGCTGTCTGCAGTGACGGACAGCCGCTGCCCGAGGGGCTGTGTCCAGCTCGGGCTGCCGCCCGGTGCTGTCTGCAGTGACGGACAGTTGCTGCCCGAGGGGCTGTGTCCGGCTCGGGCTGCCGCCCTGTGCTGTCTGCAGTGACGGACGGCCGCTGCCCGAGGGGCCGTGTCCGCCTCGGGCTGCTACCTGACGCTGATTGCAGTCGTGTCTCCTGACGGACTCCCGCTCACGGCATGGAACAAGCTGAGCTCCCAGAGCACCACTTCATTCCAGCTCCAGCTCCACCGGTTCCAACTCCTGATTGCAGACAGTACTGGCCCTCGGGTCTCGGTGCGACGGTCGCTCGCATGCTGGTTGATTTGGAGCAGTGCCTAAGTGCGGGTCCACGTGGGACGGTGTTGCATCCTGTGGGCGATCTCTGACCCACGGGTCTCAGTGGGGCACTGACTCACGAGCCGTGGCGAGCCAGTCGCTGTGCCGCGGTGATCGCCGGGCGTCGCTGACCCGCGGGTCTCAAGGGGTCTGTGCCCCACAGACCCGCTCCGTCGGCCACATGCCCGCCTCTTTAGAGGGCCGCCCCGTCAGTGTCTGGCACCCCGCACGGCAAACAGCGTTAATTGATGCAATGAGGGAGCGAACAGACCGGAGAACTGGCCTGGACAAATACGCTGGGTAAATGGAGCCAGCGCACACAGGGCCCGCAGCGTTGGCTGGGCGTGAGGGAGCATCTGCGATGGGCCAGCCGAGCTCATGGATGCACGCAAAGAACATGCGGTGAGGGTAGCGGAGGGCGCTGAACGCTGGAGCTGAGTTGCGGTAGCGTTTTGGAAAAGGATAGATCGCGTTGGCTTCATCGATATTAATAAAAAAGTGACAGAGCAGAGCCAGTTGGTGGCCACAACGTTGGAATGCGTAAAGAGTTCGACCATAAATTGCGTTACAAATTCCGGGGCATTTTTCACATCCTACCTTCGTTACTCATCGGTTATGCTGGGGAAAAGCCCCTTCCCTAATTACGCTGTGTTGAGCGGAGCGTCGCGAAGAGGTGACCTCCGCTTAGTCCCGAATTTGAGCTAAAAGTGCGGAACAAAATTAACCTTTTACGTGTAGTTTACGAAGTGGAAGCCAATAGTGTGAAGTTTTAGGGCTTTATCTTATTAAATAACTCAATATGACTTACAACCACACCTGGACATTACATCATGCTGTCGAAGGACCTCCCCCTCCTTGTTACACTTCGATTGCGTTCCCTCAAAGCCCCTCCCCTTCACGAGCAATGCAATTCGTGGACAGGCTCTCCTTTTTATTTCTGTTCTAGCACGTCCTCAGCCCCGAAACATACCACATCCCTCATCACGCCAGCTCTGCGCGACGTAGCACAGCTTCGGGCCAGAGCCATTAGCGTGTGTAGTGTTCCAGAGTATTCTAGCAAACGTTAGGGCCGCGTTTTTCCAGCACGTGAGGGCAAAAACCACCTAGTGCAGAGGTGCGGCCAGGGATTGTAAGACGGACTGACAGGCGACAGGTGACGTATCAGACTGCGTCGCCAGCAGACAGAAAACAGCACCGGCGATACGAAACGTTCCCAGCCGGCGTCCAGTGGCGACTATCGCCCTTCACCTCGTCCCTGTCTCCGCCTCTGCACTACGCGTGTAAGCAGCGCGGCGGCGGCACGTCTCGACCCTAATTGGCGGAACTGCGCGGGCGGCCCCTCGGCTGGTGCGACCGCAGCCACCGCCGCCGGAAATGACGTCACGCCCCGGTGGCGACGTGAACTAGTCCGGCAACGCACCGGAAGCACGGTCAGCTGTTTTTCGCTGTCATCTCCTCCTAGAGGCGCTCCAAATATCGCTGAAAGGGTTCAGGGGCAAGATGACCATCTCGATATACGCGATCATCTTGATACGGATGATCATTTCGATAACAATCCGAAAAGATACAAGGCCATCAGTTGTAATGGCGACGGCGCCCCCCATTCCCTGAAAATGATCATCGTCGTGCTGAGTTCAAACTCAAATGCTTTGGGAAAGTATCGTGCATACCGTAAGCAGTACACCCTTGAATTACTTGTTCACGGCGGCGGAGTGGGCTTCGTCCTCGCCGCTGGCAGTCAGCGACATATCTGTGTATCTGTGGCGCCTCTGCTGCTGGTGTCGGGCGTCACGGGGAGCGTGACGCGGCGCGGCAGTGTGCACTGCACGCATCTGACCTGTCTGCCGTGTCTGACGCAGTGTGCACCGCACGCGTTTGACCTATGTGCCGTGTCTGACCACAATGTGCACCGCACCGCGTTTGAACCTATGTGCCGTGTCTGACACAATGTGCACCGCACGCGTTTTTGACCTATTGTGCCGTTTGTCTGACACAGTGTGCACCTCACGCGATTGACCTATGTGCGTGGTCTGACACAGTGTGCACGCACCGCGTTTGACCTGTTGTGCCGTGTCTCTGACACAGTGTGCACCGCACGCGTTTGGACCATGTGCCCGTGTTCTGACACAGTGTGCACCCGCACGCGTTGACCTCTGTGCCGTTGTCTGGCCCCCACAGTTGTGCCACCTCACGCGTTTGACCTATGTTGGCCGGTCTGACACAGTGTGCACCGCACGCGTTTGACCTATCTGCCGTGTCTGACTCCGTACCGCACGCAGCTGACCAACCTGCCGTGTCTTACACAGTGTGCACCGCACGCATCTGACCTATTTTCCGTGTCTGACACATGAGACAGCCCTTGCCCCGGCAGCGGCACGAGCCGCCATTTCCTATCGATTGAGCATGGAGTCTGGTACTGATGAATGAGTTGAAATAATGATGGTGGTATGGCTTAAAAGTTACGTCAGTCTGGACCAACACAAACTAGCTCAACGAATCATTTTCAGCACGACTCGACTGGTCAACCAATAACGATTGCACTGAAATAAGCTCGCCCACACGCTTCCTTGTAACCATTGAAATGCTCACCATCGAAGCGAGTGGCGATGCAATTTGGACGCTCTCTAAACCCCGCGGAACACACACGACCTGTCTCTGGGACCAGAGCGGTGGGCCACACCGCGGAACATGCACGACCTGTCCCTGGTACCAGAGCGGTGGGCCACACCGCGGAACATACACGACATGTCCCTGGTACCAGAGCGGTGGGCCACACCGCGGAGCATACACGACCTGTGCCTGGTACCAGAGCGGTGGGCCATATCGCGGAACATACACGACCTGTCCCTGGTACCAGAGCGGTGGGCCACACGTTGAACCCCAACCTTCGCAGTTTCCTGTGTGTCCATGCCTGGAGGTCCCTCACCCTTTCCAGCAAAGCACAGCACAGCACAGCACGGCACAGCACAGCTGGTGTAGGCACAGCACCATGTGGCGTGCGACCGTCCATAGAAGACACTGGCAGCGATACTATGGTCTCTGGCGCTACGCTGCCGTTATAATTACTAAGGTGTTAGACTTAGAGCTTCTTTTAATCGTGTCCTTCACAGGGCTGTCAACAGGTCAGGGGCTAAAGCAAAATAATTTTGTCAAGAAGGTTGTAGAACACGTTTACCAAAGAGCAGCCCTCCCAGAAGCGCAGATGGGTGATTTATTTTGCGTTCCCCCATGACATGACTGTATTTTAGACTGTTTTACAACTCCGATTGGACTTTTCCGATGTCTGCGCACAGCACAGCTGACAGGACAGTCAACACGTGGCCTTATTTGCATGTCCTCCATAATCGCCTACGTGACTGTACTGTTATGGGAGGGCAGGCATGTTTTGCTCGTTCGCTCGTTATTTTTCTCTAGCCGAACAGCTGTGCACTCCGCCCTTGCGGGGTCGAACTGCGGGTGCAGAGCTCGGCGCACGTTAGTGATAGGTGTCTATAGCAGCTTTTCAGTAAAGTAAAATGATCTCGGACCTTCAGCATCCCGCAAGATGCATCCATTGTTACCCACGCTGACAAAGATGATACATGCGTGGCTCATAGACTCATACGAGATGAGCGAGCCGCTCGAGTTAGCCATGCAGGCGGCACGAGCCACACAAGCGAGGTGGCTGGCCTTGTGACCGACCGGAGCTCGGCTCCGCGCAAGGGCGCTGGTTCAGCAGCTGGCCAGGCCATGGGTCTGCAGTCCGCATATCCAGCACGTCCAGCAGCTGGCTGCGAACTGTCTGCGGTTCGATGCAGACAGCCCACTATGGCATCCTGTCCACCGCACAGGAAGAGGAACGGATACTCATGTTTCAACTAGTGCCATCTTTTCCCACTTATTCTCTTGACATTTATGACCCTCCATTCCTGGATGTTTCTATTGGTGGCTTAACTGGAGTGGCCAGTAGAAGTGCTTTTTGACATGTCAGCCCTAGCCTGGTGGTCCCCAGCCTACATCAGGTTTTCTCGGGCTACATCAGGTTTCCTCGGCGTACATCAGGTTTTCTCGGCATACGTCAGGCTTCCACGGCCCACATCAGGCTTCCTCGGCATTCATTGGGTTTCCTCGGCCAACATCAGGTCTCCTCGACCTTCATCAGGTTTGCCCAGCCCAGCTGAGCCCTGACACCATCGAGCTGGCGCTCAGCCCCCACCCCTCTGCCCCCAGGTGGAGTGGTACCGCGTGAAGCGGACGGCCCTGGACGAGGACCACTACCAGCGCTACCAGGAGGGCCACCTGTACGGCATTCGGATCGCCGAGGTCCGCGACAGTGACCTGGGTGTCTACAGCTGCCAGGCCGTCAACGAGCTGGGCAAGCTGGCTGCCACAGTGCTCCTGACAGGTGGGGATTCAGTGCGGCTCGGTTTACCTTGGAGCGTATGCGGGGACTTCGCTGTAATGTCCTAGAATTGCCGACTTTGGGCGTAAAGCAGCACATGAGAAGGAATTTTTCACTCCTTTTCCCCATATTGTATGTGAATTTTTCACTCCTGCCTGACATTGTCTAATCGCACATGCCGAACCCATATTTTCCTTTCTGAGGTTTTCAGATGCCATCCAAAATCGAGCTCACTTGAAACCACCAAGCATAAACGAGGGTACACAGAACCTGGACACCTATGGTTATGTCCTGCCTCACCTACATCTGAATTATGTCTATGTATGCACAGAGCAAGGGTGCCAGGTACCTCCAAGCCCAAGAACCTCAGCGGCTCCAGCCGCTTGCACGCATTAATTTTGGTTTGTTTACAAATTGTATCACAATCGGCAGATGTGTGCCAAATGCAAGGTTTTTACGCATCCTCTATTTTTTGGTCTCACCACCAAACGACGAAAGCGGAGCCTGGTGCAAACACCAGCAAGGCCTGGCAGATAATTTTACTTCACGTATTTTTTTCCCCGAGGAAACTTGACCGCTTAATTGCATCACTCCCGAAATGCAGGAGTGAAAAATTTCAGAATTGTCTTCTAAATTAAATTTACAAGATGAATATCACCATTTGAGCATTTGTGTTGGCAGATTTTAGGTCAAATCAGCTGATAACAAAATTTTGCCAGAAAGCATCAGTCTTTATATTTATTTAACCACTTTTGTTTTTCTTGGCATCATTCGAGTGGCATCATACGTTTTTATTCTTCTTTCCTTTTCGATTGTCTTCAGAGGTGCCATCTGTTGCTTAAAATGTGGACCACTTTCTCTCCAAGCTGTTCCAATTGTAAACTTGTTTGCAGTTTTTGCAGCAAACTTGTTTGCATTTCATACATAAATTGGATTAATTCGCCAGCCACCCAAACATGTTTGATATGCACCCAAGAGGGAACAATTCACAGGGAATGAAGGAGACAATCTGAAACACGGAACTTACTTTTACCGCCATTTTTGCTCTGTTAAACCCTCGGTTAACCGTTTTCTTGGTTCATGGCGGTGCTCAATAATTATAAATCTAAGCATTTCGAGCGTTTAACCCACCAGGCTACCTCACAAGGCTATCCTAATGCTGCCATACAGAGCTTTGGGACAGACCTGACGCAGCTAACACAAAGTGTTTGATGGCGAAATTCTGCCCACGGGAGATGTCTTCACGCACACCTCTTACTTGTTTCGCATTTTAATCTCGCTGGTTGTTGGGCATGATTTATATTTATATTTGGTGGGGGCTGCCCCCCCCCCCCCAGGGGGATGACTCAGTTTGCCAGCAGACCATGCAAAACGTACTGACTTTTTGTTGTGGGGAGCAGGAAAACGCCAGTAAGTCTTCTGCGGACACAGTAATTGCTTACCTTACCTGCTTCCAACACATGATTGGTAACCAGAGTTAGCCATTTTCTGTTTTAATCCATTGAGTTTTGCGGTAGGACAAATTATGCTGCCACAAGGCATGCAATGGGCTTATTTTATTCCATATTCTTGATTTTTTGTCCCAAATGTCTTGAAATGGTCCCTCATGGCTGCTTTAACCAGATGTTTTCTATAGTTGTCATGGTTTCCTGACTGACACATTACTGTACTGTATACATGCACTATATTTTCAACCCAGGGATAGTCTAAGCTGCATAGCAATTATACTATGAAGGACATATTAGTATGTAAAAAACAGTCAGACCGTCCAATTTAACATGTGAGGCTAACATCTCAAACTCTGTCACTAAATATGAAGAAACAGGTCTAAATAGATGCATTTTCTGCAGCTGAAAAGGCAAGCAGCAACACTGGCATGGTCATCTAAAAGTTATGTTACTTTTGGAGAACAGAGATTGTTTTGTGGAGCGTACCCATTATTGCCCCTGACATAGGCTCCCATGGCAATCAAAATAAATTGTTCGAGGTGATTTGAAGTGTTTTGATTTGTGTGCTGTCAACTTCGTCTGATGTCAACAAGCGTACACAAATGAACTAAATAAAAATGCACGTTGAAACCGGCCAAAAATTAGCTTTATCATGTTTTTATCACAAGTGCCGCTGTCAACAGATAGGTGAGTTGACATGATGTTCAACATATGGGCTACTCTAAGTTAGGTTAAGTTGGCTAAGTGCATGGCAAATGGCAATAGGAATTGTGCAAGAATCAGTAACTCACAACTGCTGCTGTGATAAGAACAGGTCAGACAGGATGAGCTGAAGTAAGGCCTCTTTAGGTTAGGCACAGTTAGGCTATTTTCATGGAAATAAGCATTGATTTTTTGTAAGAAACAGTGACAAAATGTTTGTTTTCCCTGACCCCATCTTATCAGAAGGCAGAGGTATGTGTTTTGTGTTTGACTTCGTGCAGCATCAAATTATTGGTGTTCATAATTTTTTGTGTTCATTACATTGCCATGAAGTTACTATGCTTTCATGTTTTCTGTTTCGCTTTAATGGCCTAATATGTTAAAAAACAAAACCGTTTTGTCAAGATTCTGATATTACGTCCATGCCAACTTGAAATAGATGTGCTTGTTTGCTGAAGCATCAGTCACGAGCTCATAAGTTCCACATTTTGTGAACCGATTTCTTCACTCCCGCACGGTCTTTTTGCGACGGCTTTTTCACCCCCACCCTAGTTCAAAAGCGATTCTATCTCCCTGCTTCGCTGTGGCTGGCTTACGAGAGTGTATGCAGGGGCTTCGCTGTGGCTGGCTGCGTGCTCAGGGGAAGGAGAGTGCCACGGAGACGAGGTGTCTCTTGACATTTGTCGGAAATTAATTTGACGGCGTGGTTTCCCAAAGGGGACAGCACGGCCAAGTTTGTGGCAATGAACGGTTTCCGTAACTGTCATTATAAACTGTTAAGACACCATGATGACGTGAACCGAATACGACAGTTTCTCAGAAGTGTAGATAACCAACGGCAGGAGCCTCGCCAATACGAAGTGAACACAAAAGTGAACGCAGGGCTCGCTGTAAGGAGTACCAGGGAGATGAAGCAAAAGCCTCATAATAACGCCGTTCCTCTTCCCTTTGATAGTCTCCAGACAGACCATCTGCTGTTCAGTTGTGATGGTAAGGGTAACTATATTTATGTCCGGACAGACTCTAGACAGACCATCTGCCGTTCAGTTGTGATGATAAGGGTAACTATATTTATGTCCGGATAGACTCTAGACAGACCATCTGCGGTTCAGTTGTGATGATAAGGGTAACTATATTTATGTCCGGATAGTCTCCAGACAGACCATCTGCCGTTCAGTTGTGATGATAAGGGTAACTATATTTATGTCCGGATAGAACACATGCGGTGCGCTACTTCGGTGCAATAATGTGTGGCAAGCAGGGTGGGTAACTCTGTGTTCCAATAATGAGACAATTTATGACGTTCTTCTTTTAATGCTGTTTTCAATTCGCCCATTAGAAATATTGGGACTGGGACCGGTCTGCAGGACTACACGCTTTCAGTAAAACGCGTTAAAGATGCGTGACATGGTGAGCGATAGGTACCTATTTTTCATCTAGGTGACACTTCCGTTAACATAAAATTGATTGCTGACACCCATTTCGCCGTGCTAACCGCTGGCCTGGAAAGTCAACCTTTGAGCATGGGCTCATTGAAGCCTCTGTATTCCCGCAGGCAAACCGAAGCCTGCCATCATCAGGTCGAAGCCAAACGGCAACCAGAGGGAGACGTACGCCCTAAGGTGGAGCATGGAGAGCTTCGCGCCTCTGCTGGAGTACAAGATTCTCTACAAAAGAGTGCGTGTCATCAGCATGACAGAAAAACTCATGATGCTGGGTAGTTGATATCAAGGCTTCTAGGGAATGTGATGGAGTGGTATGCATCATGCGCTGCGCTGCGTGTTGTGTTTCAAGTGAAACGACACTTTGTTGTCAGTATAATATATATATATATATATATATATATATATATATATATATATATATATATATATATCAGTATATACTATTTTCCTTTTACCTGATTTATCAAAGCTGAATGGCAAGTCAAAATTGCGCCCAATGAGAATTCAATGCATGGGCGTTGTCTCGGGACAGGCGCTGCACGAAACTCCAAGTCTTTGTGTATGCCAGCCAGCCAGCCCACCATGATGTCATGATCAGCGCCGTCGCCTTTTCTGACGCCTAGCCTCGTGACAGGTGTCGGACAAGGGCGAGTCTGCGTGGCAGGAGGTCGTGTCAGCGTACCCCAACCGCTCTGACAACAGTACCATGGTCGTCCACAAGATGACCATGATGCTGCCAGAACTTCAGCCGGCCAGTGTGTATGAAGTCCTGGTGACGGCCCGCAACAAGTACGGCTGGAGCGAACAGCCCGACACCACCTTCCGCTTCTCTACGCTGGGAGCCAGTGAGTTACACGGGACCAAGGCGGTGATGGTGGTGATGGTGATGATGACGACGATGCGGGCAATCGCAGCCATTGAGATGCTAGTGATGCCATTGGTGATATTTCCTGAGAACAACAACGCGTTCGGCATTCGAGCGACATTTGATGGATGAAGGATTGGCGGCGGGGAGGACGAGGGTCCTGCGGTGTAAGGGGGACGAAGGCCTCGTGACTTCAGTAGGACGAGGGTCTCATGACGTCAGTAAAAGGGGATCTTATGACACCAGTGTGACGAGGGCCTCGCGACGTCAGTGGATGAAGGTTTTGTGACGCAATTGGGACGAGGATCTCGTGACGTCAGTGGGATGAGGGTTTTGTGATGCCATTGGGACGAAGATCTCGTGATGTCAGTGGATGAAGGTTTTGTGACGTCATTGGGACGAGGATCTCGTGACGTCAGTGGGCTGAAGGTTTTGTGATGTCATTGGAACGAGGACCTCGTGCCGTCAATCACGCAGGAGGGTCAGCCAGAGGAAGCGAGTCTGTCCCTTAGCGTACCGCCTCATCGCGTATGTGAGAACAGCCAAGCATGCCGGTAGCTTAGATAGCTTAGAGGCGATTCCTAGGACTGCTGATACAGCGGTTTTTAACCGTTGTACCGCTGTACCGCCTTTTATGCATTTCTAGCACCCCAGGATGGCTAAGCCTCCGATATATTTAAGGCAACAAGATGACGCAGCCTCTGTAAAGTTCCGACAACGTCAAATAACGCTAGGTTTTGCTCAGTTACCGGGGGTCGTCATGTCCCGCGCAGTGTCGTTGGCTGCGATCGGCACGCGTTTCCCTCTCGGGATGACCTCGGGATGACCTCGGGATGACCTCCGTCGCGGCCGCTGTTTGGGTCAGCTGACCGCTGGCCAGCTGCTCCGCCCAGTGATCAGTGCCGGGTGACTTTTCAGATGCGAAGACCGCCAATCCAAAGGGTGGAGGTGAGGCGGGTGGTGGATGGCCGAGCTTAGCGGTACTTGCCCGGCTTTTCGAACCCGTAGAGGCGTGTGCTTCGCTGCCGTTGTCCGCTGGCCTAGTGTTGGGGTCACGTCTGACGGAAGCTGCCTTGTAGTGTGTGTTTACTAACATGGCGCATTCGGCAGGGGCTGAAGGTCAACATGATCCGGCGCGGGGGTAGGGGCGTGGGGCGTGTGGTGTGGGGTGGGTATGTCGCAGTACTCACAATAACCCAACGGTGCTAGGGCTGTAACCTTAAGCAGTCGTAAGTGTTTCTAGGCTGACAACATGTGATGCGCGTGGTCGTCATCTTTGATGCCTGACGCACTTATAGCTATCGGTCGAGTCGGAACCGTTTGGGTCATGCAACGTATTATTTGAGAAAGTATGCCATTTTCTAGTCACATATTGGTTTTTGGAGCTGGGCAAACGGACCAAAGCGCTGCTCGTGAGCTACATTGCTGTCGCAATGTGTATGACTCTGTTGCGCTGGCATAGGAAGCTGGATTTGGCGCCAAATTGTGGTCGGAGGTCGCTTGATTGCCAGCCGCTGACAACGGTTTACCTCTAACTGCTTCTAACCGCATGACATCACCTTCCTTCGACTCACGCTCTGTAATCGGTGCTCAGTATGTGGTATCAAATGACAATGAATTGAGTGCTGGTCATTTTTCCCAGGCTTACCATAATTCCAGGAGTCCTTTAACTCTGAGGTATGATTTCATTGGGACGTTAGTACCCTATGTTTCAAATAAAACACTTATTTTAAGGGTATGTAATTTAAAGCAATGAAGCAAACCAGATGCCTTTCAAAGCTATGTGCTCCTTAAGCAAGTGTGTCTCACATCTCATGCGCATTAGTCCCTTGGTTCTCAATCAAATTTGCAATCCCACAGTTCTGAAAAAGAATTCGCCATTCCCCTCACAAGTGTGATGTCATCCATCCAATGTCTGTGTTGCAGAGGCGCTGGTCTCGCCAAAAGGCACCGGCGCCGCCGAGGCACCACGAGCAGGAGTGGCCTGTCTCCTGATGCTCCTGATGCCTCTGAGGGCACTCTGGTGAACTGCAGGCGCAGGCTAGGTGCAGTATTTTTTTTTTAATATGCTTATCTAGGCAACACTTGAATGCGGCCGCGTCCTGTATCGGTTCTAGAATGATCCTTGCAATAATATTTACCAATCTTTGGGAAAAAACAAACTAAACGGTAAATTTTCAAGCAATGTTTTGTGGGTGAGATTCCCGTAAGCGGATTTACTCCCATTAATTGTATGGATGGCTCCTTTCCCACGTGTGCAAAGGAAGAGTGTATGACTGCACTAGCCACCACACTTCCGTCGTTCGCTAGTGCGTTACCACCGCCACCGAACAGGCACTGCACGTTTCCGATGATGGCCGGCGGTGGCCAGGGGTGGCTCCTCAGTTTATGGTCCGTCGCAGGTCTGTCCTCGCTGGCCCGGCCTGAGGACGGCTCGCAGTCACCCAGACAACTGCTGCGCCTCCCGGGGTGACCGCGCTGTCAGCCCGCAGGACTGCTAAGGGACGTGGGCGTGGCGTGGCGTGACGTGAAGTGACGTGACGTGACGTGACGTGAAAGGACTGCCACACCGGCGCCTCCGCTGGACGAGTGTGTGGCTCGTGTGAGGCTGAGCCATGGCTCCCAGAGAACCGCGGAGTCGCAGGACGCCAGCGCCGCCCGTCAGCGGGGCAGGTGGCGCCACCATCTCACCCCAGCACGCGAGGGACGCGGCCGTTGCTATGCCGACCGTGCGTGAAGTGTTCTGCGCAGCGCAGACGACGCTATCGTCTCACGCCCGGGAGCGGGGCTACGTCTGACAGAAGGCGCCAGCGTTGCCAAATGACTGGAGTGGCCTCCGGCCTGTTGACCAGGAGCGAACTCCTGCCTGCTGACCAGGAACAAACTCCGGCCTGCTGACCAAGAGCGAGCACCGGCCTGCTGACCTGGAGCGAGCACCGGCCTGCTGATCTGGAGTGAACTCCGGCCGACTGGCCAGGAGTGAGCACCGGCCTGCTGACTTGGAGCGAGCACCAGCCTGCTGACCAAGAGCGAACTTCGGCTTGCTAACCAGGAGCGAACACCGAACGCTCCGACTAGTCCAGAGCGTGGCTGAATATGTCTGTGCGCGTGCGCGCGTGCATGTGTGTGTGTGTGCATATGTGTGTGTGTGTGTGTGTGGCCGAACTGGGCGGCCACCAGCGTGGATTACCCATGGCTTCAGCGCCGACACAGCGGTGGTGCTCTCGCTCCCCGTGGCTGGTGGTGAGGTCCACCACGCGAACGCCGGGATTTTTGCTGCTTGCTTGAGTCGGAAAAGACGAACTGGTGGCGTCAGTGGACGTTTCACCAGCGGTGACGTGCAGGAAGAGATGGTTTGCGCCTGGCTGAGTCAGCTTGGTCTGTCCGTAACGGCTCGGTCGCTTTGCATGGTGCCTGACAAGTCACCGGGACCCGGCCACGTGAAAGGGAGACCATTTTCGCGGTGCTGAACTACCTGCGAACTATGTCAAACATAACTGCCTGCGCTTTATGACGGTGCGTCCGATGACTGATTCTGCTGCTAGCTGTGGCTGGTGTTGTAACATCCATTGTAAACAGCGCATCAGCCAGTGGCGATGGTTGCCCGTACTCGTGTTGTCGTTTAACAAGACCGGGCCAGTCCGATGCAGCTGCCTTGCCACACCTGTCATCATCCTAGCTGAAAGGCAAGCCACACCAGCACCATATCCGTCCTAAATAGCAGCTCCGTTACCACGTAGGCCCTTTGCTCTGTGGTATGAGCTAGCGACGGATACATGGGTTCCTCTGCACGCTGTATGTCTTGATGGCTTGGGCGGCTCGATCTGTATGCGCGCGCGTCAGTGTGCTTGTGCTTCGTGTTTCGTTCACCGCGGGCAGACGTCATTTAAACGGGGCCTGTTACGTTTTAGCGGTACGGTCAAGACACGCGACCAAAACACGCGTTTACGCCGCTTTGTTGCGTGTTTGAGCTGCTGCATATCCATCACATCGCGGTTCAGTGATTGGTTCGAAGTTAACTGAATGATGTTTCATGTGATTTAACTTCCTGTAGTTTATTCAGATACTTTACAGCAACAATAGCAGCTCATCTTGTCCCCAGCTTCAAAATTGTGTGCGTACAGTTTGTTTTGTGTCTGTGTCGCGTACAGCAGCATCACAATTTTTACAACATGATAAGCAATGCAGCCTGGCGGATGCGTTTGACAAAACCATCGCACGGAAGAGGAACAGACAACACCAAGGGCTTTCATGTGAGACGGTATCAGTCGCTGGATGTCACGAGGCTTGATTTTGATTTGATCTCGTCGATACCACGTCAGTGAGGTTTCCTGACTATTGGCAGTCGTCGGCGGCTGCTACAAACGCCAACGTAAATCCAGGACAGACCAGCTGCACTGAACGCATCGGTAGTTTAGGCCAAGGGGCGCCAGTTAAAACGAAGGAAGTTCGAGGTACCTCCTCATCAGAAAGTCTGCGTGGTTGAGAAGCATAAACCTACCATAACCATACCACAGACACATCCTTGATTCAGCATCCACGTCCAGCATCACCCACGTACGACTGTACGCACGTGCACCACCGTAGCGCGCAGTTCAGGTCGGCACCGGTGCAATCCCAGGATCGCTAGAGCGACCCTCCTGCAGCGCGAGCCTGTGCCACCTCGTAGCTGGAGATCCCGACCTTCCTGCACTCGAACCGTACCCAAGGTCCCTGGCTCCCGCGGGAGCGCTCTGTTCCGCTCAGTTCGGCAGGTAGTTGCACAAGGTGGCCATCTGCAACACTCAGTTCGGCAGGTAGTTGTAGAGCGTGGCCAGTCCCTGGAGCAGCAGGGGCGACGACACGGACATGGCGGAGAGGAGCAGGGGCGGCGCGCCGAGCAGCGCTAGCAGCGCCACGAACACCGGGATGCCCACCGTCGTCGCCAGCGTGATGCCTGGGATGCTGTTGCCGATGTAGTTCTTGACGTTGGCGCCGATGACGAGCGCTGTCTGGTCAGCGGCCGTCATCGTCTGGTGCAGCTGGTCGCTGGCCGAGACGCCCAGCGCGTCCACCGCCGCCGCGATCGTGTCCGAGAGTGACGTCACCGCGCCGGTGATCGTCGTTGTTGGCGGTGCGGGGTTCGGCGTGGGCCGTGCTGGCGTCGGCGCCGGCGGCGTCGGCGTCGGCGTCGACGTCGGGCCGGCCGGCTCCTCAACCGGCGTGAGAGGCTCCTCCGCGCCCCCGGGCTCCGGGCGGCGGATCACGCAGACGATGTCCGACGTGGGTTGGCTCGCGCCCTTCCAGCGCGCCTTGCGACTGCGCATGCGCTCCAGCAGCTGCGAGACGGTGGTGGTCTGGTTGTCGAGCAGGAGGAGGTCATAGGCGGGGCGCGGGCGGGCGGGCTCGGGCGGCGGCACGGAGAGCTCGCCGCCCCACGAGTGGCCAGCGCCGCTGATGTTGTACTGACCTGAGGTCAGGTCAGCGCGCAGCACCAGTAACGATCCGTTGGCGCGCAGGTGCAGGCAGACAAGGTCGCCACCCACGCTGCCCAGGTGGTTGATGGTGACGGCCGGCGGCGGCGTCGGCTCCAGCGTCGGTGCTCCGCCCGGGAGCACAGTTGGCACCCTGTTCGGAAAGCCGGCCGGCCCCACACCCGGGTAAACGGGCCGGTCGGGGGCCGACACGGGGGTGACCACACCCGGGCGGCCGGGGCGGCCGGCGCAGCAGGGACGCGGCGGGCCGGGCCGCACTGCTGGCCAGTCCGGCGCCGGCGGCGCGCCCGGCAGCGCCGGCAGCACGTACAGCGGGAACACCACCTTGCCACTGCCGCCGCTGCCGCCATCCGGCTTCCACCTGGCTCGGTCAGCCGGCGGAGCGCTGCCCTGTCTTTGGAAGAACTTGCTGGCGTTAGGCAGCAGGCCGACCTGGTAAAGATTGAGCAGCTCTAGCTGCATAAGGCCGGTTTGGACGGGCGGCGGCCGGGTCGTAGCTGGGGTCGGCATTGACGCCTCGAGTTGGATCGCCGTTTGGGGTCTGCCGGAGACGAACACGTTCACATTAAAACTAGTGCTGCTGGCGGGATCTTCCGTCGTGCTTCGCTCGGGTTTGGTGACGTTAGCGATCTTTTGCACGGGAGAAATATCGTTTTTTAAAATTGCCAGCCGCGTGCCGACCTTCCTTCTGATCACATTTCCGTGCGATACGCCTGCGTTGTTGCCATTCACTGTGTCACGAGCTGACAGCGGTGAGCCCCAACCCACGGGTCCTGGGTGGACCACCGAGGCGGGGCGACGCATAGCGCCGCCATACTTTGTGTGGTCCAGGTGCGAATCGCGGAGCCCCACCGGTAGCACCGACGCTGGCGGCGTCACCGGGCGGCCATCCATGGAACTCTGAGTTTGCTGTCCCGTCACCACGCCGCCGGAGCCGGCCGTCAACGGCCTACGACGCTGAATGTAGGAAATCCTTGGTCGCGAGCGAACCGCGCTTGCAGGGCGCGTCTTGCCATCCTCTTCCCGGGCACGTCCGGTCACTTGGTCAGCGTACAAGGACAGATCTATGAGGCCGTAGCCACGTCTGCGGAACCGCAGTGCCAGCCGCGGCTCTGACCCCGACACATGTGTCCCGGCTCGGGCCTCGCTCCCCGCCGCTGAGCCTTGCTTCCGCACGGCCGCCGCCTCTCGAACACGTGGCGGAGGCGCCGGCACCACATCGCGTGTCTCGTGGCTCGCTGGACGCCTCGGCGGGTCGCCCACGGCCCGTGACCGGTGCAGCAAGCTTGAAGACAGCCAGCGCTGGCGGTAATCGAGCCGCCGGGGCCGCGTCGCGAGTCGGTCGGGGCCGAGCCGTGCCGCGGCCGCGGCTCGCGCGTCTCGGGGCCCGGCGGACGCCAGCTGCCTGTTGGCGCTGGGAGGCGCCGCCGTCGCCGACGGCATCCCACAGAGCAGAGCCAGGGCCGCCCAAAGCCAGAGCGCGGTCATGACGGCCGCTCAGCCCGCCAAGGCCGGGCTGGTCGGCATCCGGTGACCTGCAACGGCAGGCGAGCGTCATCAAGGTGAAATTTCAAACTAAAAAAATATTTCCCCTTTCTCAGGAAATGTTCACTAAATAGAAATCATTATCGGTCGCAAATCATCACAATTTATCACACATTTATAATCATCAGTAGCAAATCATCGCTAAATAGAAACAAGAGCTGCAAAGGCCGTTCAGGTTTTCCAAAGATCGAAAACCCCGAGAAAAGACAATAAGGACGCGTTGTACCTGGTTTTTACCTTCAGGCTCTCTTTGGAGCAGCTCGGAACTCAGCATCCCCCTTTTTTTGAAAATTGTGTGTGTGGTGTGTGTGTGGTGTGTGTGTGTGCGTGCGTGGTGGTGTGTGTGGTGTGTGTGGGTGTGGTGGTGGTGCGTGGTGTGTGTGTTGTGTGTGTGTGGTGTGTGTGTGTGGTGTGTGTGTGTGTGGTGTGGTGTGGGTGTGTGTGTGTGTGTGTGTGGGTGTGTGTGTGTGTGTGTGGTGTGGGTGTGTGTGTGTGTGTGTGTTTGCGTGTGTGTTGCGTGTGTGTTTGCGTGCGTGTGTGCGTGTGTGTGTTGCCTATGTGTGTGTGCTTTTTCAGCTTTAATTTGTGTTCAGCTCGCTTACCGCGCTGGACAAAAGTATTTATCGTGGGAAATAGCAGCGTCTTATCCTACCATGGACGGCGAACGAAGATATTTAAGAGCAAACTCCATGCTGGCTTAGCACCATTCTGTCTGGCGTGGTGCCGTTCTTTTAAAAAAGTTTTAGCCCTTTTGGCCGACTGCCTAGCCCCGCAGCACGTAGGTCCGTGGAGCTTAACATGTATCTGTCATAAGCGTTTCGAATAGTCCAGTATGCCATGCAAAAACTTGGATCAAATATAACGCCGGGGCTGCATGCAACCTTTGTAAAATTGCTGTCGCCTTCCATTACGCCGAGTGCTGCTTGTGTTGTTGCGCCTTTGCTTTTTAGTTGAGTTCAAATGCTTGCAGAGTTAGTGTTTGAGACTACCACTTCGCCCGTGTCGTCAGAAATTTTGCCTGCAAGCCTCCGGGAAATCTTTTGCTTGTCATTGAAGCCATGGATACGGTCTCGTCGGATAATAATGGAGATTCTTTTGTCTCCCGCCAAATGGAATCTGCCAGGCCAAACAATCTGCCTCCAGAATACAACCCCACGTGCCTAGAGATAATGTATATATATATATATATATAATATATATATATATATATATATGTATATACAAACACATACATGCAAATGAAGAAGGAAAAATACGCCAACTGCTCAACCAGCAGATCGCAATATCGGGACGACTGGGAACCACATGTTCGACACCTGAGAGTGTAGTGTTATTAGTTCTGTTCTATGAGGCGAAAGCTCAATGAACTGCACTAATATTTTGTTTGATATAGTTGATATATCTGATAAGATATAAAACATAACATATACATCACGAGATATCCAACATACAATATCAAACATATCAAACATGACAATGTAATGCGTTCCGTGCACGTCTCAGTCAACCTGGGTGTAGAAAACTTGAGGGAATACCCAAAAATTATACATATATATATATATATATATATAGATATATAGATATATATATATATATATATATATATATATATATATATATATATATATATATATATATATATATATGCTCACTCGCCGCCGGTGAGCATTTAAGTAAAACATGCCAACGCGCACGCGCTGGAAGCAGTTATTGAACTTTCGTTCACTCATTCGTTGTGGCGAAAAGGGTGAACCACATTGACGAGAGAATGCACGGCTCGAACCTATTGCTTTGAGGAATGTCAGAAAAACCACACAAATCGAGCTTAGAACAAGTTACGATCGGCGAGATTACAGAACCCAGAAAACGCAGTTTTTCAGGGGAGTCCACTGTTACGACGAAGCAGCACTTTCAATGTCTTGGCGGAATGGGTTCGGAGTCACTGCAGGGTAGTATTAAGCAGACCGTGGACTAATTACATGAAAAGGCCTCAAACGTTGCTCTCGAAAAGTTTCTTTCACTACTTGGATGTGCCTCATCACCTTCAGCGCGTGACTACGTGGCCCGCGATCGGTAAGCGCTACGGCAGTGTTCATATCAGGTTCGAATTAACACTATCCCCACGAGCTTACAACTGCACCTTGAATCAGATAAAATTGAGTTATAAAGGCAT